TTCCTTTCAGAATGTCCTCTGAAACAGTACTGAGAATTGCTATAGGTGCCCATTACAATTTAGCACTTCAGAGTCAAAGAAAAAAATATGCCTCAGATTACGGAGGTGGGGGAATGGAAGGAGAGGTATATCATATAGTACATGCTGCCAGATCCTTAAAACGAAACATACATTAAATATAATTTTGGGGGGGAAATGCCACAACTTTAAGTTACTGCCAATAGGTGATGTTCAATCCAAATTATTTTTTCCTTTGAAAGTGAAGTACCACATAGCCCTAATATTTATGGAAAATAACTGTATTAAATAAATCCTATCAGTCAGGTATTTTACCAAATGATTCAGGATCACAATGACAAAAATTAAAAATCCTCCAAAGATTCTTGTCTCTTTATGCAACCAGTTTAATAATCAGTAACCACAATAAACTTCAAAGCCTGTATATTAAATGGTACCTGTTACCACAAGCGTCTCTATCTACAATGCCATTAGGAATAAAATCATTATAGCATTAGGAAACCCAATTCACGTAATAATCAGATGCTTGTTAAAATAAAATATCAAAGAAAAGCACCATATTCTTCCACAGTTCTCTTTCACGGTGTTTGGAGGGGGGGGGCTACTTTAGTAGACATATCGCCTTTCACCAATTATGAAACTATCTGAAAAACACCTGTGTTGTAAACAAAAGATCCACACTCATTGCTTATCGACATAAGAATGTAATCTAAACATCACTAGTTTAGTTTGGCAAATGCAGAATATCTAAACAGCAGGTAGGAAGCACTGCAGCAAAATCTGACGGACATAATAATAGTGGAAGAGGGAATAAAGAAAATAAAAGATTTAAAGTGTACAGCAAGCAAATTAAAGCAAGTTTGGGAGGATGGGAGTTTTCAGCTCCATAGCTGGGTTTCTGGATACTTGGTTTCCCAAGAAACATTAGCCTTCAAACAGCAGCAGATTGACGTTTACAAATGCACTTAAGTGACAAAACTGGATTGTAAAATTGCCTACTTCCATGATTCTTAATTAAGGTACTGCACAGAAGATGCCATCAGCTAGGTTGCGATCAGTTCAGGAAAACATCTGTTGCCAGCACAGCAGAAAGAATCACATGTTTCATTCAAAATTTACTGGCTATTTGATTTTTTAAAATAAATATCCTTTCTTCCCCAAAATCCCAAAACCGAACTGGACCTCTAATTCCAGCCACCTGAAGTTCTTTAGTTTAGCTTACCCCAATCAAGTATCCCCAAATGCTCTGAAAATAACACCCCCAATATCCATGGTCAATGTCATGGATGATGGGAGCTGTAGCTTAGGTTGCAGGTGGCCACATTACTTTATGTAACAGTAAAGCAGAATGGGCAATATTTGTGTGTGTGAGTGCCCCCCCCCCTTGTCGTTTCTCTTTCCTCTCTCCCAAGCAGTAAGCTAAGTCAGATAGAACAATATTGCTTAGCAAAATTCTAAATTTGCTAAGGGCATTTGAAACAAGGCTGACCAGTATGGATAGCCCAGAGTGGTAGGTGGCCCAGCCTGGATGTAAAGTAAGAAATGACCATTACAAACACTACAAGCTCTGTGCCTTCTCCTAGAGCAGTGATGGCTAACCTTTTTGCCATCGCGTGCCAAAAGCGGGATAGTGGGGGGGGGGAATTGTGTGTATGCATGCCCACACCCATAATTCAATGCGCCCCGTCCCCCCACGCATGCATGCGTGACCCCCCCGCTCTCGGCACGCGATTGCACGGTGGGCCCGGTAGGCCCATTTTTTTGCCCTCCCCAGGCTCCAGAACCTTTCTAGGAGCCTGGCGAAGGTGAAAACGGCCTTCCTCACCCCCTGGAGGAGGCCCAGAAACAACCTGTTTCCCAACTTCCAGTGGGCCCAGAAGGCCCGAAAATCAGCTGGCCAGCGCGCACATGCGTGCTGCCTGAGGTAGGGCAATGCTCGCATGCTCACAGATATGGCTTCGTGTGCCACCTATGGCACCCGTGCTATAGGTTCGCCATCACGGTCCTAGAGTAAAACAGCAAATCAAGAAGCAAGCTAGTATAGAAACCACTTGGCTTCAACAGTTTTAAGGCAAGCCTTTTCTAAATTACAAAGGGAATCAATGGCAATAGTGCTCAAGCTACCTCTAGTAATAAATCTTTTGATTTTTCGTAGGTTATGTATAGCGCAGATGGTGCAATCCTCAGGTATGATGATGCAACTCTTGCCAGAGTAGTAAACATAAACCCATTGTGACACATTGCTTAAGTAAGCAACTATTTCCCATAAGGGCAAGGTTACATATTATAGAAAGCAAAGAGAGCACCAAAAGAGTGGATAAGGGCTTGAAATGGCCACTGATAGCACCTGACAATGCCCAGTAAGTATAAGAATGGCTTAAAAAGTTTAAAAAACAAAGCTTTAACAAGATTCTGTCAGCTTCTGCAGGTACTGGAGCAAAAACTGTACAAACATAGCCACACCAAGGGGAAGGCACCGTAATATTAAAACAGGACTGTATTTTAAAACTTCCTCTATTAACAATTCTAAATAAGCCCATCAAATGGTTTATTTAATTGTGTGCTGTCACCGTGGGTGGGGAGTTATTGTTTTTTTATTTTGTTTCTATATTTTGTTTTTATTGTTTGTAAGCTGCCTATAGTCTCTTATATAGGCAGCTATATAAATTTTCTAAATAAATACAAATAAAAGTACTGCATTACGCTACTTATATTCCCTATTTGGGCTAAATATTGATAATTCAGATAACAACTCAAGAGTAGCTTGTTGTTCAACATTAATATTAAGCAAAGACGAAACTATTTTTTAAATGTTATTAAGAAATAATTGTTCTCAAATAGTTACCAAATAAGATAGTGTCTTTAGGTTAGTCTCTTTAACACTTTGCTACACTCCTTAAATTGTTTATTCACTATGTATCTTAGACATTGCTTTAAGCTCAAAAATGTCTAATCCAATACATTGTTTTAATTATGTTTAAAATACAGATCATGATTTGAGTTAGACAGTTCCATTTACATGAATATGCTTTGGACAAACATTGAATTTTTAAAAGAAAAATTTAATCTACTGTAAATCCAAGGATATTGAATGTCCAGACATTATACTCCTTGTATACACACTGCAGCATTAAATATTTGCTAAAAGCGTTTTAATCAATTCTTTCATGGTTTTAACTTAATGTTTTTTTCTAATCCAACAATGAACCAAATACTCAAAAGCATGGTATAAAGACCTGTTTGGAATAAGTTTGTTCCAGCAATTGTCTCTCTCCCCATTGCAATATGGGAGGCTGTTGAGAATATTGTACATAGGAATTACTTGTATCTCCCCTATCCTGTAAGTGGCCCAGTGGGAATTTTATTTATTGTGAGAAAATAAATTGCAGGAACACCAGCCATGTCATTATCATTTCTGGAACATATTATTGGATAGACGCTGTCTCTATAAATAACTAACCATATATTACAGATGCAACAGTTTTCAAAAGCACTTATTTACCAATGTATCAAAGTGTCTATATTTTTAGGAAACTCTTTAAGTTGTATTATATCCTGCAGTATTTTTACAAGGTGGTGTGTGACTCTAACACTGGAAATAACCCATTTCAGCCTTATTTCAGCCCCAATTACTTTATCTGTGACTGTGACACAAGTATGAATGTGAAAGTTGGACTTCGGAGAAGATAGAAAGAATATTGATTTTTTAAAAAAACTTAGGTGTTGGAGAAGACTCCTGATACTGTAAACAGCTAAGACAACAATGCATCTCCCCAGAGGCACAAATGATACACAAATTATCCTACTTTGGATACACTGTGGAAAAAGCTAGGAAAAATGAAAAGAAAGAGGATGACAGGCAGCAATGCAGATGGACTCAGTTACAATGGCAATGATTGCACCATTGGGAGACTTGCAAGAACAGGTTAGAGACAGATTGTCATCTTTATTTCTTATCTCTCTATGTGGTCGGTTGGGCGTCAAAGATGACTCTTTGGCACAAAAACCAATCCATTCAAGCAGGTTTAAATTTGAGAGGCTTTCTGCATGTAAAGCATATCCTGAACACCGAAATCAAGAATTTAAAATAATTAAATACCCCGTAAACCCCCGTTTGAGGAGAGACTTTTACAAAGCAACAGGGTGGCGGCAATAGCATATTTCAGAGAAGGAACTACAAATCGCTAACCAATGGCACCACTACCTAAAAGTTCACAATTTTCCTTGTTTTGCACGGATTGCAATGCTTTGGACACAATTAACCATTCCAGGTTTCTCCCCCACTCTTCATTCCTACATACACACATGTCCTGATCTTGGAGGGAGGGGGGAAAAAAACAAAACCCACAGGCACAAATTTGCCTTCTGAATAAAAAGTGGGCAGGTTGGGTCCTTTCGAGCCAGCTGTTTAAAAACCCTCATTTTCTCTTCAGCAAAAAGGTCAGGCTTTCCGTGAACCACGGAGGATCCGGCGCCACAAGGGCCGAAGCCACAACGCGCGCGTCACAAGGCGATTCTTTGGGTCCCGCTTAACGACCGCTTTAGATAGCTTGACATTCCGCCGGGCTTCCGCTTTCCAACCACCCCAATTCGGCCCCCCAGATCGCTTTACCTGCCCGGCCATCACAGGCTCCGCGCCGATCTCGATGCCGTATTTCAACTCGCTGAGCTCATGCAGGTTCAAGGTGCCAAAGGACTCGCCTTGCCCCAGCACCGAAAACGCCGCAAAGAGCACCAAAAGGCCGCAGGGGGCCGACAACCGAGGCACCGCTGCCGCCATCTTGCTTTCACGGCTCCGTCCTGTTATTGCCCTGAGTGACGACGGCTTCGGTGACTCCTTCCGCCCGTTCTTTGGAACGCCATCCATCCATTCCTACGGTTCTGGGACGTGTCAGTTATCCCATTGAGGGTTTCCTATTGGCCGTGGTAAGGGAAGTGACTACGATGGGGAGGGACTGGGGGGAAAAAACTGGATTGGGTCGATCGCCCAACCAATCACGACGGCGAGCGCCAGTACACGCTGCGGTTGAAAGCATCTGTTCAGTAACAATTGGCCAAAGTAAAGTCATCGTAGCAACCAATCCGGAGGACGAGCGCTTGCAGTCTCGGAAGAGCGCAAGTGCGCGCTGCTATTTTATTTGAAAAATCCTAAATTTTAATATTTGCGTGCTATGCGACTTCTTATGTAAGAATCACGTCCACGGATATATTTACGCGTTGAAATTATTCGGAAATTATTCCATCGCACAGCAAAGGGCAAGAATACCCGCTAGGAATTAATCTGCATCATTTATATTTGAACAAAAACTAATGTGCTAGTTTGCTGGCTGTTAGTTGTCATTTTACTGAAAGGACGTCTTGTGCAGTGTTGTAGTTTGGTAGTTGTTTTATATAACAGCTGTACTAAATTATTACTCAAGTATTCATCCCTGCTTACCACATAACAATCATAGTTGGACATGCCTGCCAGCTGCTTAAATATGAGTACGGCTATGCAAATACATTCTACAGGTTTCTATGGGATTAAATATGCTTCAGAAGACACTTTCATTTTGTATTTGCTCTGCTTTGAACAAAAAAAAAAATGCTTCAGGAGAGCTCACATATTATTGTATTCTATATGTAACAGTTCCACTATTTTTTTCCCATCTCTTTTTGTAGGGCAAGGGGCATTCATAAGGAAGGAAAGATGAAAGAGGTGCAGAATGCTTTATGAATGGGAGCTGTGGTAGTCAGAAAATGGAAGCACACTTTAAGAAGTAACATATCTTTTGACCAAGTTTAATTCCTGGTACCCACATGACCCTGTGACTGAATTCTGACACTGGTGGGTACCACATTGTGGAAGACTGATTGGAGCCTGTTATTTGTCAGATCGCTTTGTCTGGCATGAGCTGGCACTCAGCTCAGAGTCCCACTATAATGTTTCACCATCTTACAATGGTTTTTGCAGAAGAGTGCCCCAATGAGTTTAATGAAGTTTACTCACAAATGTGCATACAGTTTTATCCTTAGCTGACATTAATTTTTGATACAGGAATAGAGTAAGGAGTCTACGGATACTATATTAGTGAATCTGCAGATACACTAGTATTATCTGTAATTTTAAACCTAGTCAGGATTACTTTGAAGCAAGCAAAATTAAAATTAGATGTTTTTAGGATCAGAATTCAGGGCTTCTTAACTACTGAATAAGCTAAATTCTCTCTTAAAAATTAAACAGAATTTCATAGTCTAAAATCCCCCCAAATTTGCATATGGGGGTTAATTCAGAATCCAACCTAGGTTTATTTGTATAAAATAACAGTCTTTATTATATCAGTTTTCACTTGTTTGCTGGTACCAAAGATACATTTCCAGCAGTACTAGATTTAACTCTTGTTTTTTATTGTTAATGACTGATAGATTTTTCTAAATGATGCATTTTATTTATGCATGATTTAATTATTGTAAGAACCAATAATAGCAAATGCAAAAAAACTAAAACAAAATAAGACATCAACATAGTAGGAAAGACTGGAAGTTGAATCATTGGATTTCTTTTTTTTTGAAATACAAGTAGTCGTCAATTTACAACAGTTCATTTAGTGACCGTTCAAAGTTACAATAACGCTGAAAAAAGTGACTTATTTATTTTATTTATTTATTGGTTCGATTTATATGCCGTCCTTTTCTGGAGACTCAGGGCAGCTTACAATGCGTTAAGCAATAGCCTTCATACTTTTGTATATATACCTGCTTAGTAGGGCTTCCCCCCCCCCAAGTGGTGTTCTTTTTTATACAAAGTCAGCTTATTGCCCCCACAAACCTGCTGTTATGGCTGTTTTTCACACTTATGACTGTTGCAGTATTCCCATGGTCACATGATCAAAATTCAGATGCTTGGCAACTGGTTCATATTTATGATGGTTGCAGTGTCCTGGGTCATGTGAACAGCTTTTGTTCAGCCACAGTGATGCAGTGGTTAGAATGCAGTACTGCAGGCTACTTCTGCTGACTGCCAGCTGCCAGCAGTTCGACAGTTCAATTCCCACCAGCTCAAGTTTGACTCAGCCTTTCACCCTTCTGAAATGAGGACCCAGATTGTTGGGGGCAATATGCTGATTCTGTAAACCGCTTTGAGAGGGCTGTAAAGCACTGTAAAGCGGTATGTAAGTCTATATGCTATTGCTATTTTGTGACCTTCTAACAAGCAAAGTCAATGAGGAAGCCAGATTCACTTAACATCCATTTTACTAACTTAACAACTGCAATGATTCAGTTAACAACTGTGTCTAGAAATGTCATAAGGTGGGGCAAAACACACTTGCCAGATGTCTCACTTGATTTTGGGCTCAATTATGGTCATAAGTCGAGGGCTACCAGTATTTCGCTGTTTATCCAAGTAGCTTCTTTGAAATGTTTCAAACAAACAAGCTAACAAAAAAAATAAATTCAGTTGCCATGACTCAACTTCTAGACAACTCTATCTGGATGACTGAGAATCTTCACCAAAATATAGCAGGAAAGAAAAAGGAAAGAAAAACCTAGAAATTGACTAAGGGAGTTGTAAATCATTTAGAAAGCAATAAATAAACCTAAGTACATTTAGAGTATTAAGTCTTGAACTTTCTTATAGCAATCACAATCAAACAATATTTGACAAGCTTCCTGGATATTTCTACAGACTGAACTGTAGACAAGAATAAAGCATTCTGGGGACTTCCGGTTTGACATTGCGGACAGTCAGCCAGGGAAATAGCGGGCTCTGATGAGCCCCGCAAAAACCACAGCTGCCGAGCCACCGCTGATGGGTCTTCGGACCGGAACCGTCCGAGAGGCACCTCGGACGACCAGAGGAACAGGTAAGTTCCTTGGAGGTTGGAGGGAGCTCTCTGCGAGTCGGCGGTGGGAGGCGGCAGCCATGGCGGCTGCCACGAAGTTGGGACAAACCGGGCAAGTGATGTGCAAGAGGAAAGCAGAAAAGAGCGATGCCTTTTGAAGCCGGGTGAGTGACAACCAACCCAGGCTTGAAACAACGTTTGGAGTAATGGCTTTTTATTTTGTAAGACCCCTAGCCTTAAATCAGCAGCTGCGGAACTAAGGAGCATAGAAGATTTTAAGATGAAACTTTTAAAAGAAAAGAAAAAGACCCGATTGAAAATTGATATTTGAAACTAAACTTGAAAAATAAACATTGAGACTTGGTTCAAAATTAAACAACTTTAAATTTGAATTAGACTTTTAAAGAAAAGAAGATAAAGAAAAATTATTACTTTTAAAACACAGATTAAGGAGAAAATTGGTCTGGAATGTTATATAATTGAAATAAAATGGCGATTTGCATGACTAAAGGAAATTGTGGATGTAGAGGGACACCTTCTGGTCTAAAAAGAAACATTGTAACTGGTTTCTTGCTTGGGAACATTGTGAGTACTTCAGATAACAACCGTGGGATTTTGGAGTTGGAGCTGTTTCCTCTTTGTCTGCAGACGATTTGACTTTGTTAAAAAAATAGGGAAAGTATGATGGAACTCTTATAATTGGACTAATTGGCACAGGAACAAAAGTTAAATGGTGCAGGAACAAAAGAAGAAAATTGATGTGATTTGTTTGAAATAGAAATAAGAAAAAGAATTAAATTGATATATGGAGAATTAAATTGTGAACATTGAAACTGAAATGGAATATATGTTACAGACAAGGAAATGAGGAATTATATACACACGGCTGGAAAAAAGAAGATAGAAACAATGTGATTAAAAATAAAGCAATGTATAGATGGACAGTAATAATAAAAAGGAGGTTTTTAAAGATTAATAAATATGAATATGAATATGAGAAGAATTTGATATAATATGTGAAAACTGAAATAAAGAAAAAAGTAAGAATATGAGAGGAATGGAATATATTAACAGAAATTTATTAATTTATATAAGGAAGTATTTGGAGTAAGAACTAAACCTCAATGTTAAATTGTTATAAAGATGATAATGATAATGTGATTGAATATTAACAAGTAATGTACTGATGGATGGTAAAATAAAAAAAAGGATGATTATGCTGGGATAAGCAGCAAACTAAGGTGATTATGCTGGGATAGACAGCAAAACATAGAGAATTATACTGGGTATAACAGTAAACTATAAAGAAAATTATGCTGGTATTGACAGCAAAAATGATGATTATACTGGGAATAACAGTAAAATCTAAGAAGACTTATGCTGTGATTAACAGCCAAAAGAGGATGATTAAGAGGAAGATTATATACTGGGATAAACTTTTAGAAATAAAGATGACTTGCTGGAACTGATATTAATAACAATGATTATGTTGTGATTAAAAGGGTTAAGTTGAGATAAATAGTAAAATGAAGATGATAAATGCTAACAGTTAAAATATTGTGTAAATATTTTGTTGGTTTATGTTTTTAACATATATCCATCCATATTGAAAGGAAAAGAAATTGAAATGACATTGAATTAAGGATTTCAAGATTAGAGTAATGGGTTTTAAGAATTTTTTCTTTTTTTAGATAGAATCTATGGCAATAATGTTAGAGAAAATTAAGTTGTGTTATTTGAAAACTAAGATTTGTGGTGAAATAATAGAAGGTAATTGATTTGTGTAAAATGATATAAGTTAGGAAAACTTTTTTCTTTTTTTTTGTTTTTTTTATGGTAATTAGCGGATTCGGGGGGAAAACTTTTGTTAAAGAGGAATTAGTAATTGTACCTACTTATGACCGGATCAATGGCTCATTCTGAAAAGATTTTTGCATGTTTATGTGTTTTAAAAAAATAAAAAAAAAATTGTTCAAAAAAAAAAAAAAGAATAAAGCATTCTGTCTGGTGGTTAATCAGGAAAAAAAATATGGATAAAAAGGAGGACCAACTCACTGGAGGGTGTGGTGAACAGAGTACTTTTCAGAGTATAAGATGCATTCCCCTCCCCTAAAAGTGAGTGAAAATTGCGGTGTGTTTTATACACTGAATATTGCCGAAGCCTAAGGTGACCAGATTTTAACATTGGTAAAGAGGGACATTGTGGGCGTGGCTTATTTTGTGGGCGTGGCTAGCTTGTCATGTGACTGGGTGGGCGTGGCTAGCTGGTCATGTGACTGGGTGGGCATGGCTAGCTGGTCATGTGACCGGGTGGCCATGGCTATGTGTATAGGGTAAGGTGAACAGATTTTAACATTGGTAAGAAGGACACCATTGTGGGCGTGACTTATTGTGTGGGCGTGGCTTGGAGGCCATGTGACTGGGTGGGCGTGGCTAGCTGGTCATGTGACCGGGTGGCCATGGCTATGTGTATAGGGACTACTCAGAGGGCTGAAAAGTCATTTCTGACAGGTCCTCACACTTTTGACTGGTCCTCACACTTATGACCATCCTCACATTTATGCCCGTGCAGTATTCTTAACAACCATGTCACTCATTTCACAACTGCTTCTCTTCACCATGGTGACAAGATAGGGCAAAAATGTAAAATGTGAGGACAGTCGTAAGTTCGAGGACTGGTCAAAAGTGTGAGGACCAGTTAAAATAACTTTTTCAGCCCTCTGAGTAGTCCATATGCACAAAAGGATTAACCAGAGGGCTGAAAAAAGTCATTTCTGACAGGTCCTCGCACTTTTGACTGGTCCTCACACTTATGACCATCCTCACATTTATGCCCATGCAGCATTCTTAACAACCATGTCACTCATTTCACAACTGCTTCTCTTCAACATGGTGACAAGATAGGGCAAAAATGTAAAATGTGAGGACAGTCATAAGTTCGAGGACTGGTCAAAAGTGTGAGGACCAGTCAAAAAATAACTTTTTCAGCCCTCTGAGTAGTCCA